AAAGAAACAAAAAAGAGAGGAAACCACCGATCCAAAAAACAACGAAAACGGAAACACATCCATCCGTGTGCTTCGGGTAGGGGGACCCATGGTTCGCCCTGCTCCTCACCTGCCTCGCCGGCTTGGCCACCACCGTGGGCGCCGCCATGGCCACTCGGCGTAGCTCAGGGGCCGAGGGGCCGAGCCTCAGACTCGGCCCTGTGGTAAGTCACCCTTTCTCATGAGTAGTTTTTCTTTTTTTCCATGTATGTATATATACCTGGAGCCCAAATGTCCTTCGTTTTTGTAGGCCTTTCAAAAAAACCTGGTTTTGGTTCCAAAAACCCGGTTTTTGAGAAAAAGGCCGATTTTTGGGGAAAGGTCGTATTTTGCTAGGAAGCCCGGTTCAGCTGTCATTTTAGACGACCTGTACGACCAGCATTTGACCTGATGTAGCATCTCATTTGAGCTTTTCACGAATCATAGTGAACTTGTACACCACATGATGAGATTTGACTACAAAGCTTGACTGTTCGGGTTTAAGAAATGACGCATAAGAGACAGAAGGCAATGGATTCCACGCATGATCTCCTGCCATCAAATTCGAATCAGTCTCTTTCGTTCAACCCCAAGTGGAACCAGACTATAACTCTAGGATGCTAGCCCGGAAGTATTGACGAATCTAAAGGTAAACTTCGGACCCAGGGTTACAAGCAAGCAATTTGCACATGACCAAGTCAATCAAGTATGCCACGTCTACTCCTGCTGGAGACATGCCATGTGCCAGACTATCCCTAGCTAACGATTTTGTGCTTTTTATCACATGAAAGCGCCGATGCGCACATGCACAGCACCGACATGCAATTCAACAACCAACCAAAGCGTTTCATAGACAGCCTTGATCTGCTTCGTTCCTGCCTTGGACAGCCTAGCTTTACCCGCTGACATTGAACACGTGCAGGTATGTATGGTAGGTGCACCTTGCTAAAAATCAATCCTGGCATGATCCATTGTGGGAGCCCCTACCGACGCGCATTTTGCTGCGGAACTTCCACTAAAGCAGCCCACTGACGCACAAATATGTTTTCTTCATATTGGGACACTTACTTGGGGGCCTTTACGCATAAACTAACTGAGCATGCTGTTCTAGAAGTAAGATCCTTGGAAAACAAATCTACACTCTACCTTTGCACCCGCTACAGCAAGTTTCGGCTCAGCTTTGCAAAGGCTTCAATTTCGCAAGTGCGCCCGCACCTCTAAATGCCGGCTTCGATCTTGGGATATTTGCTTTCGGAAAACTTCATGAGATTTGTTGGATTTCCGCAGAACGTGCCGAATACGTACAAAATACGTACAAAATACGTACCGAGTACGTACTTTTGGTATGCCGAGCCAGTACCCGTACAAGGGGCGTATTTTTGCGTACAAAGGGCGTATTTTTGCGTACAGAAATACGTACTTTGTACGTATTCTAGCATGTTTTTGGCATGTTTGCGGTTTGAGCATTCGTGCTCTCAACCATTGTTTTTGTAACATCGCCCCGTGCGCCAAACAAATTTCGGCTATAGGGCAGGAATGTTTCATCTTGACCTGTCGGCACTGTTTGGGGGTTCAGTGGTTCTGCAAGCAGGCTGCTGTTTCAGGGAAACGACCGCAATTTGCGCCCTCGGCATTGACTGGCTTTCGGGATTTCATGGATGAGTGCTTACTTACGATTCTGGTGCCTGCTGCTTGGGTGAAGCGCAGGTATAGAGGTTGCCTTGCTTTTGATTGGCGCAACAGTCCTGGCCACTTTGGATGTCAGCAATTGTTTGTTTTTGTGATGTTGCACATGGGCACGTATGGTCCAAAGTCATGCTGCCGCTTGTTGACTGCTAGCGTTACTGTAGCGCGGGCTTATTGGTATGATTTTCCTTTCAGCTGTGATACTCATCGGGCATGCCAATGCACGGGCGTGTTCTTGCATTTTGCGCGGTGGTTGTTGCAGTGTTGGACTGGCGCACGCTTGCTGCGCAAGGGCAGAAACAATCAGTAAGCAAAACACGCAGCACCTGCGGTGCAACATCCAGTTAAAAGTCAAATGAGTTGTTGTAGTCTTTCCCGCTCTGAGAAGACAACTGAACAGCACATCGTTTTGAAATAGCCGTTGAAACTGCAGGCCTAAGCAGCGAAAATCCGGACGTTTAGCGGGATCTTGGTCAGGTTGGTGGGCCACATGTCTTCCATGTGTGGTTTGTTGGAGCGGCGTGAGAGCGTAAGCGCGTTGTTAGCTGTTTCGCCCAAAAAAGCCGTATTTTCATCCCATTCTCGAGAACTAGCAGCAGTTTAAAGTAAAGCAAAGGTGTATCACGTGGAGCAAACAACATTTTGACAGACACGCGCTGTTTTGGAAAGGGGCGTATTTTTATGAAAGGGGTGTATTTTTATGAAAGGGGCGTATTCTCACGAAAGGGGCGTATTTCAATCCAAAAAGCAGGCCAGACACAAAAAGGAGGGACAAACCGGCCCCAGGTATATATATATATATATGCATACTCCAACTTGCGCAATCGCTCGTGCACGGCTGGCGCAGTGCAGCGAGCGGAGTCTGTCATGCCTTTAGGCAGGCCGTGCCAGGTCCGCGCTGACCCGTATGGGTCGCGTGGCCGTGAAAAACGCCGTGAGTTGTCTCATGGCGCTAATGCTGTGCAGGTCACAGCCGATCCGCACACCTTTCTGTGGAGGGTGCACCGACAAAAAAGAGCGATCAATCCCCGAAGAAAGAAAGCCCTCCAACGAAAAGTGGCGTGCAAACGCGGTCAAAACGCGGTTGACCAACCGCAGGTGGCTAGCAACGGTAGGCCTGGCGAACGGAGCGACATGCGTCGCATGTTCATACTTGCCATCAGGTGTGGCAATGGGAAAAGCCTGGCCAGCTCCGTGCTGGTAAAACAAAACTAATTCCAACATGCTGACATCCACGCAAGCTTCGCTTTGCCCATCAAGGGCCAAGAGCCACTCGAAGAACTGCCGCAGAAAGCTACTGGGAAGGTCCAGCAGCTTTGTCTCGCCAAATGACGTCCAGTCCTCAGGCAGGTGATCGGCCCAAATGCCTTGGCGGTCATGCCATTGCACATGAGGCCCACCGGGCTGTTCAGCTGGATCAGGTTCTTCCTGTTCGTCGATTTGCAGGTTCTCGCCCTGAGCACGGGTACATTGTGCGATGCGAAGGTAAATGCGCTCCAGCGCATCACAGATTCCGGCCCAGTGCTTGAAGAACTGCTTGGCCTGGTTGTGCAAGTGTACAAAATCAGCAGATCGGTTCCGGTTGGCTGTAACGGCGGCATGGTCAGCTTGATTGTTTCCGCATGCGACCCATTCCTCAAAAGGGGATTCACAGTCGGCTTCCTGAAGATGTGATGGGATCCAGCGAATCTGAAAAGTCCCGGCTGTTGTGGTTCTGAGTAAGTCTGCTGCGGCGTGCCAAAGGTCCTCGTTTTCACCTGACGGGGCTTCGGTGGGCTCATGAAGCAGCGCGTCAATTCCGTGCACGGTAGACTGTGAGTCCGACCAAACGCATGTACGGCAGTTGTGTTTGATAGTCCACCGGATGGCGCTAATAACTGCTGTCAGCTCCGCACGGCTGATTGTCTGTACTGTACCTGACAAATGTCCTGCTGCGATACATCCGCGATCCGGTGCGATGGCCGCCCAGGCTGCTAATGCAAGCTGCGAGTCTTGGTGGCCAAAACATGAACCGTCCGTAAAAACATGCTGTAATTGTGCGCCATCAGGTTCGAGATGAAACTCGCCAGAGCTGTCAGCTGTATAGTGGAGCTGCTCCTTGATGCCGGCAAAAAACGGGTTTCTCGGGACGAGCAAATGGTGGCTGACGCAGGTTGGGAGAGAGTCCCACATGTCGGCCACCCACTGGTCCTCTGCACGGCAGGTCCTGTAGCGTGGGCAGTTGCATACCTGGTGCTTGTAGTCCTCCGGGACAAGGCATAGTGGGCACTGCGCGCTCTTGGTCAGATCGTATCGAGCATGATGAGCGGGAGCACGAAAGGACCCGTCCTGCACTGCTGATACCAGTCGCGCCTGGAGTGGTGTGTACTTGGATCGCCGGCGTGTAGAGCAGGCGTGGTCGATGCCGTTGAGGTCGCTCATGGAGTTGCGATGCTGCACTTGTTGCGCAATACGCTGCGCCCACGCATCTTCAAGCCTGCTCGTCAGCTCATTGGACGAGCATGTGAGAAAGTTGAAGTGAAGGCCGTCATGGTCGGTGATATAGGGGACAGTGTTGATCGTCCATTTGAGCGGGTCGCAGATTTCTAGCAGCTTGGAGAAAGGTCCTGGTAGTAGGCGCCCATCAAACTGTCGCATGAATTGCGCCCACTCGTTGACATGAGCTGGCTGTTTGCGGCAAATCCGGCGAAAGTCCCTGAAGACCGTGAGGGCTTGGTAGAATCCGGGGTCGGCTTGAAAAGGTAAAGCAAGCGTGAGTCTCAGCATGGGATTGCCTCCTGCACACTTCAGACTCAAAGCTGCTACGGCTGCTGATCGAAGCCGCCGGATGTGCTGTTCACCCAAGAGGCAAGTGACGATCCCATGTAGGGCTCGCGGCCAGAAACATGTCCACAGGGTTCTGGCTTTCACTTCCAGGGGGCCTGGCGCACGTCGAAGCGCCTGCCATTTGCCGGAGAGACCGCGGCATCTGTCCACCAGACCAGCGTTGCGTAGGGAGCTGCCGTATGTCATGCAGCCGCCCAAGTCTCGCGCGTTGCGGACCGTGCGGCAAGGGAAGGACTGCAGCGATTTTCTGTCGGTAGCCGATGCGGCCCACACGAAGGACTTGTCGTAGTCGATCGGCAGGGCGAGCATATTGCAGAAGCTTTCCAGAGCACACCATCCTCTTGCTAACGTAGCAGGGGAGTAGGCTGTGGCCGCAAGGTTGTCAACGTAGCTATATGCTGAGGTCGACGGAGCAAATGCCTGCATGTAGAGATGGAAGCTGAGGTTGATCATCGTCATGGCAGCAACACTCAAAGGGCATCCTTCGGGGAATCCGACAGAAGATCCGATGGGGGAGGAGGCTGCCCCGGACGACGAAGGCTGCCCCGGACGACGAAGCGCCGCTGGTTGTTGTGCAAAAAGTCAAGCCAGGGATTGAGGACCTTGTCCGAGATGCCAAGGGCCTTCGCGATGAGGGCGACTGGTTCCCTGCGAAGGTTGTTAAAGCAGCGTTGCAGGTCGACTGCGAATCCGCAAAGTCCGTCGGCCGAGTGGTCGGCTTGGGCGCTAAGCTCAACAAGTGCTTGCATGGCGAAGACATATTGCATGGCCTCCTTTTCAGGCATGAAACCATATGCTGTGTCGTGGATCAAGTGGCTGACGCCCTTGAGGATGGTCTTTGAGCGGATTGCCGCCCAAGTGCGGTAGATCAGGCTGTAAATGACGATTGGGCGGTAACTGTCTGCTGCTTTGGAGTTGGCGGTCTTGGCGATGCAGCTGACTGTGCCCTGAAGTAGCTGTTTGGGCCAAGTGGTTTGGCCGTCCTCGAGGCTGTTGAGCCATTTGACAAGCTGCTGCTTGTGGCCCGGGTGCATCTGGCGGAGGTCCTGGAGTGCAAATCCGTCGGCTCCTTTAGCAGCGTGTGGGCGGTACTTCTTGAGGGTGTCGTCCCACATTGAGACCGTGATGGGCTCACATGGGAAGTGGCCCTTGGGGATGTAGGCTTGGACGAAGCTGGCAATTCTCGTAAGCTCTTCGTTGGATAGCCGGGTTGAGGTGTTCCAACTCGATGAGCTCGAGTGGATGTCATTGATGTGAGTGACAAAGGAGTCCTGCTCAATGCCGTGCCCTGGGCAAAGAAGCCGGTCGGTGTCGACCTGGGCGACATCAGAGGCAATGGCCTGTACATGGGCTGGTTCTCCATGGAGGGACCAGACCGAATTGCCCCTGGTGCAGATGTCCTTGTCGAGGTGCACAAAATTGTTTTCCGTGTCTACAGCCAAAATGGTGTAGTCCCGAGCGATCGTGAGCGTGTCGATGGCCGGTTGTCTGTCCTCCCGAATGTAGTGGTAGAGAGCTCCACTTTGCTCGTCGTATTTGAGCTTGATAGCCTGGCGTCGTTGGTGTAGATGCCAGGCCTCGAATTTGCGGAAGTTGGAGCGGTAGTCCTGAAAGATCAAGATAGCAACGGGGAGTGATGGCGGTGAGTACGGCAGTCTACATGGGCTGCCTTGAAGTTGCAGCTGCCGATTGGGCCACCAGTTGTGAAAGCCGCCGCGAAAGCCAGAGCTCCTAGTGATGGCCCCCCAGAGCTGAGCGCGGTAGAGGGAGGAGTTGATGCTGGTCACGTTGGATCGGAGTGAGTGGAGATAGCTCTGGAGTCGTCGTAGTTGCTTGCACCATTGCCGCACAGCAGTGCCGGCAAGGCTGGACATGATGATCTCCTCACCTGGGCGGCTTGATTTGATGGCATGCGCCGTGGTGTGGACTTGCTCAGGTTCTGTCCACTTGGCACGCCCTTTGCAGCGGCGAGGCAGGTCTTTGTTGTGGTCCAGCTCTACGTAGCCGTTGAGGGAGTTCTCAAAGGAGTAGGCAAAATGCTGGTACCACGCAGTGGATGTCTCCTGTTCATGGACGGGGGCAAGGCTAGCGGAGTGCCATCCTGGGATGTTGATGGAGCCCCATGGGATGGCGGCTGGTTGTCGCCACCTTCGAATTTGTTGCTGCTGGGCCTTGGTCCACAGATCGACGATGACCGAGGAGTGTTCCATGTAAACGTCTTTTATTCGGACGCGTTGTGTCAAGGCGGCTGCCTCGGGCGAAAGAAAGATCAGGTCCCGTTGGGTGGCACCCTTGCACGTTGGCTGGGGCTGTTGCTGCCAAAGGGCCAAGGCAAGCTGCTGTGCCTCTACCCAGCCGTGTTGCTTCCAGAGGGCGATTTGTGGTAGGGTAGACTCATCGTGGTTGAAGTCTCCAGCCACAACCCGGACTCCTTGGAGTCCGACCACTATTTCACGTGTGATGGTGGCTAACAGGCGATCTGTGAGAGCACGGGCGTCCGGGTAAGTTGGGCCCGGTGGGAAGCCGTATACGGCGGTCGTAGTGATAGGCACACCGTCGAAGATGTGCCTGGCCGTGGTGACTCTGCCGGTCTCAAAGACGCCGGCGTCCCAGGGCAGAGTGAGGGGTCGTGCTGGAAGGTCTGTAGCGATGAGCACTCCAGTCCATGATCCAGCCCAGTGGGAGTGCGCTCTGAGCGGAGCAGGAGCACCCTCAATGCATCGGACCTGCCGCTGTTGGGCACGGCCGAGCTGCGCGAGTTTTCTGCGCACAATGGGTCCCGTGACATGGGACAGTTGTGTTTCGGCGAGATGCCAAATTCCTGGGCCTTGTTGGATTTGGAGGTCCTCCTTGCCGTTCAATCCCGAGGGGTTTGTGGTACCCACAGCCAGAAGCTCCTCAGTGGGAGGGAGCGGCCAGGTTGGTCCAGGGTTGTGTGCTTCCCCGATTCGATAGAGGCGAGCATGATGGTGGTCGTTGGCAGCAGTTGCAAAGCACACTGCGTGCCGGTTGTGGTTGCCCTCCCATGGGTGTCCCCCGGACCCAGACTCGCAAGAGGTTTCCAGACCGGAAACCTTCGCGCTGTTATAGTAGAGCAGGGCACAGGGTTCTCCCAGGTAAGGCATGGGCGTAGCCGCGCAAGAGCAGAGCTGCGAAATCCAAAGCACAGCGGTGGGGATCAGGCGACTGGTGCGACCTGTGATCATAGCCGGCTTCCCGGAGGGTCGCTTCCGGGATCCGGGCTTAGTCAATCGGTGCGTGCTTTTTTGGCCAGTAGGGCCTCAAAGCGTTGGAACTGCGTGTCGATCTGGGAGGAGAGGTCGTGCTTGATGTTGCCAACAGCGGCTTGGAGCGCGTCTCCCTGGCTGCGGATTTGTTGTTTGACCTCGGTGAGGTCGCCTTGCTGCTGTGTGACGACCTGTTGCAGAAGCTTGAGGTCTTCTCCCTGCTTCTGGCCGTGTTGGCTGAGCTCGTGGAACCAGCTTTCGAAGCGTTTGCCTTGGTCGCGGAGCTCTTGGACACTGACCTCAAGTTGCATGAGCTTCGAGGCATCTGCGTTTTTAGCTACCTCGCTGCGTATGGCTTCCTGCATGTCCTGTTTGAGGGCCGTGCCGAGTTGGTCGATTTTCTTGGAGCTGGTGGCCGACTGTTGTGGGACAACTGGTGACATGGTGATGTCCCCGCTGGCGTGGTGCCATTTTGCCCATGGGTCGCCGCCGAGAAGCCATGGGTCCTGTTGAGGGCTGGTGGTGGTGGGGTTGGAGGTGGCTCCTTGCTGGATGTGCTTTCTGGTGCGCCCAGTGGCGCACAAGGTAGAACTGCTGCTGGATTTTGGACCAACGTCTTTGACTTTGGTGACAATGACCTCGCTGCCGATTCCAGGGAGCACCCAGCTGGGTGGGTCTGCGGCTGCTCCGACTTCCCAGGTTGCTCCTTCTGCTGAACCGCGTCCGGATTGGAGTGGGCGAGCGCTCCATCCCCACTGTGTCAGAAGTTGGGTGATGCCGTTACGCTGGATCCCGTGTGGCAGGGGAAAAAGCCGGTAGATGCTATGGATCTTGACCTGCACATATTCGTGTCCGGGTCGGAGTTGGGCAAAAGCGCTTTTCTCGTCCTGCTCCTGGACGCGAATGCCGAATTTGTTGCCGAGCCGAGTGATGGCCAGGGCAGAGTCGCATGTGCGAGCACGGTGTTTGGCATCCTGGATGTTGGCGCCTGGCAGCCAGATCACGGTGTATCGTGGGTCAATGGCTCTACCATCAGGGGCACGTGGATCGAAGTACGTGCCGTTGCTGCCGGAGACGGTCTGGAGGAGTGGGCTGGCAGATTCTGGTACCCGGATGTGCGCATGGAAGAGGACACAGTGCTCGATGGCAGTCCGTTTTCCATCTGCCGAGGCATATGTCCAAGCCCATACGTCTTGTATGACATAGTCGACGGGTTCCTCGATGGCCGGGTGGAATTTACAGGAGGCTTCTGGGCACTTCTGGAGCAGTGGCGTGTTCTTGACGATGGACTTGATCGGGGCTTTGACGAAAGCCTGCCAGTCGTGAGGGCACTCGTCCCGAATCGTAGCTGTGGCGATCTCATCCTGTAGGGGATTTGGTGACTCGCTTGACCGTCATGTCGCCGATCTGGATGAGGCTCCCTGTCAGGAGGACAGGTTCGTTGGTCCCAGTGTAGACCGCCGGGAACCGAATGGTTTCCGCTTGCTGCACAGTGGGCTGCGTGGGGAGCTCAGAGGTAGTGATGATGGCAAGGGCATCCGTGGAAATGCTCTGGGCGTCGTTAATGAAGTGCATAGCCTCGGCGACTGTGGTGATGGCAAAGCCTCTCTTGTTGGCGCTGACTTCAGCAAGAGGAATCTGGCTGATGTTGTTGTCCTCGTCATCTGTGAAGATGCCGTCGGGGACGATGAGCTGGTTGGGATCGACGTGGAGTTCGGGCTGGTTGTGAGGCTTGTAGCCCTGCTTGGCTTTTTTGTTTTTGGCTGCTGGGATGTACGCTCCGTGTTCGGAGCTGGCCCGTGATGCGATGTGGTCCTGTAATTCGTCGTAGAGAATCCAGCGGAACCTGGTGGCCGGTCTGGATGCTAATGCTTTGAGTGCTTGCCAGCAGTTCTTGTCTTTCAGGGCTTTTTGGATGGGCCCAGCGCCGAGCTTGGCAATTGCCTGGTCGGTCCTGTCCTGTGCAGCGTCCTCTGGAACTCCTTTCGAGATGAGGATGGCTTTGAGTTCGGAGTGTGTGCTGGGTAGGAGCGGACCGCCTGCTCGGAGTTCACCAGGCTGGCTAAGCGTGGCGAAGGAGTGGTGCCATTGTCTGAGGTGGGCCTGAGTAATGTGGTCCCACAGTTGGAGGTGCCACCCAAAGTGGGCAGCAGCAATTGCGCCACAGTCTCCTTCACAGGTAGAGCTGAAGACATGTTTGTGCTGGAAGCGGATGGGTGGCCAATCATAGATGGCTGTGAGGTCGGTGGCAAGCTTGAGAGCTGCTGCAGTGTTTGGTGAGTCTGGCCTGTCCCAGCAAGTGGCCAGGGTGTGGTTGTTGTCCTGCTCACAAGTGAGCAGCGTCCAGTGCTGGTTGCAAGGAAAAACAGTGACAAGGCGATCCGTGTGGGGCACCCGGATGTCGTCATGGACGCGGGAATGGTCGGTGGCGTTCCCAAGCAATGCGTGTGCCTGGTGTGGCGTGATGACGGTCCAAGGACGGGGATCAAGATAGGCGTTGTAGTTGATGAGATTGTGGATGTTGGTGAGGACCGCAAGGTCATCCCAAGTATGGTCGGCTGTGGCCAGTCCGGCTGCCCGGAGGCGAGTGGAGGAAGCCGTCTCGTAGTAGTTGCATACCTGGCGTTTTGTGGAGCGGCTGACTGTGCACTCAAGCCGGTCTGTTGCGCTGGTGATCAGCTCATTATCGGTTTTGTGGTAACCGGCCGGATAGACACGGATTGCTGCTCCCCACCCTTGGAGTGAGGTTTCGGCCTTCTTGAGCTGAGCCAGAGTAGTTGGCTTGTCTAGCGTGATCAGGGCATCGGGTTCTCCGTCCTCTGTGAGGGTGAGGGTGCGCGGCATGAACATGGACGGTGTGATCCAGCATAGAAGCCGGTCTTGCAGGAGCTTGTGTTGGTACTCCTGGATCATTCCAACTGGCGAGCGCTTTGGGCGTCCGGTGTTGATATGGATAACCCAGTTGACGATGTGGCCGAAAACCCAAACCGCCTGCAAGGGTGCTGCCAGTTGTCCGATTAGGCACAGAGCATGCCTGGCCGGTCCAGGAAGGGGTGTTGAAGGCATCAGGGTGTTCAGGAAACCTGCTTCGCCCGGGTGCAGGAAGCGCTTCATGCCGGTGCTGCTGGAGATGACCGAAAATCCACGGAGGCCGTGTTGGCGCAGTCGGGTGTCGGAGAGCGGCCCGGATCGGCATCCACAGGGACAGGCCTGTAAGGCCACCCCCCACGAGTGCAATGCCGTTGGTGCAGGTGCTGCTGTGTTGAGGTGGCGCAGATCCCTGCCATATTGAGGATCACCGTACTTCTGCTCCTCCTCCGATGTCCATTGAAGGTTGGACTCATCAGCGTTGCTCCAAACTGGCCACTCCTGAATGACTGATCCCACATTGGGAAAAGGATTGGTGCTGGGCCACGGGTGCAAGGAGAAGGGCACTCGTGAGTCTTCTGGGATCATGATGCACCACCATCGCTTGCGCTTGCTGGCCCATTGGTCTTGCAGGTCAAGGGTGACATGATGTACTTGCCATCTTCGTAAGTTGGCATATTGCGCGAGGAGGTTCTGCACGTCCACATTGTGTCGGGCATTGTGCACGCATTCCAGGATGAGGCCCACAGATTGCAAAAACCAGGAGGCCTTCAAGATGGAGATGAGTGTTTGCCCCCGGCTGTCACGCATTCCTTGTTGGTCCCCCTGGGCACTGTATGGCTGGCATGGAAAGCCTGCCGAAAGCAGGCATGGCTGAGCCGATCCGATTTGGTGGAACTTGAAGAGCGCCTCCATGTCCTCCATCTGGGCATGCACCACCTGATGGCCCTGGAGCCGAAGTGCATCACATGCCAGCCGGCTGTGGTCGAGGCAGGCGACCGTTTTGATTCCCACAAAGTTGGCTCCCTGAGAGAAGCCACCAAGGCCGGTGCAGAGCTCTTTGAGCTGGAAGAAAGCCCCATGGGTGGGCTTCGAATGGGCGATCATCCCGCATGATTGTCCAAATGAAGCCGAGGCAACTGTCCAGCAGCAGAAAGCTCCGCGTTGTAAATAGTGACCAGCGTGTCCTGGTCGATGTGGGCGTCCACGAGGAAGCGCTGCTCAGGGCAAAGCCCCATCATCTCCGTGCCCAACTCGGTGTTGGCGGCGATCGCCCGCGCCACCAAAGTGGCCCTGCTGCCGAGAGCAAGGCTGGTCAGGCCTGTGTCCATGGCGTCTCCCAAGCTTCGCTGTTCACCAGCTCTACCACCGGGAGGTGCTCGGGCCAGAGCTATATATACATATATGTATATATATATATACATATACATATATGAAATACATGTGTATATAAGTATCTTCCCTGGAGCACCAGGCGTGGCATCCTCCAACCCATTCCCCAGCAATTTTCCCCTCTCCAGAGCAGGACTGAACCCCACCAGAGGCTCCCTTCCAATGGAACACGCTACAGCTGCTTTTGCTGGTGCGAAAGATGCAGGGAATGAGGAATGGAATGCTAATTATAAACAAACCAACTGGTGGTTCCCTTGGGGACCAAAGCCTGGGTTCATTCCATGTCTCATTCCATCTACCGATTTTTTGGGCGCAAGCACTGCCAAAAGCTCCCCAAGGCGCGTCGGTGTTGTAGATGAGCTTGAACTTCTCCCAGTCGTCCGCCTCCCCGTGGCCCCGGTGCCACGCCACCAGCTGCCCTGAGGGGCTGGTCACCTCGGAGCCGAAATCCGCGACGAACCCACGAAACGCACGGCAGGGGGACCTTGGCGTGGGAAAATGTTTGGTGGAGTGCGGGCAACAAGGAAAGAATTGGAAAAAGGTGAGGTTAAGTGCTCACAGCCAGGTAAGAGAGAGTGCGAAAGGGGACCCCAAGGGAGGAGAAGTGTGGGCTTCACTTGCTTATGAAGCACTGTATCACTTCAAACTCGGTCAACCACAAGAAGAGCCCTCTATTCTCTTGAAGGGATGGGAGGGTCATGAATCAGCTGGCCCAACGTTCTCTGGCCCTCGTGGGGACCGCTTCGGATCTGCACCCCCGCAATCCCGAACACCTATCCTCTCCTCCTGGTCCCCTCCAGTGAGGCCTGTACTTTTTGGGCAAACATTGGGAGGAGGGTCGGGTAGGGGTGGTTGGAATTTCGACCGTCCAACTTTACATCCAAGAAGCCAACCGGAGCCTTTTCCGACCGGCCGATACATGTTGACAGGTGCCAAGGTCAAAATCATTGGATGGGTCCTACAACATTGAGGTTCCCCCTCCAAACCAAGGTGAGAAACCGTCCAAACACACCCATTTGGGTACCACCAAGACATGAACCGCAGATTCTAGTCCATGCTTGCGTTTACCAGCGCAACCCATTTTGGGGTTCACCAATTTAGGCATGAATGTTAATTAGGGACCTTTGGTGGACGGACCTCATTTAGGTGAGGATTCAGGTCCAACCACTTTTGAGGCGGTTCCCTACTAAAATTCATAGCCATATTGGTTGCAAACCTTCTTGGGACATTCAGCCTGGCCGACATGTTCCAGGGATCCGAAATTTAGGCGTCGGTGTTTGACCCACACCCATGTCAGTGACAGGCGCTAAGTAGGTCCCGTGGATGGACTTCAAGGACACGTAGCCGTCCGGGTGCGCCTCGAGCCGAAACTGGGCGTCCGGGTCCGCCTTCTTGCCCCGCCACCCCACGAATCCGATCTTGGAGACCGTGATGTAGCCCCCGTGAACCTCGGCACGAGGCTACAGACTGACCCCTCCATTTCCCGTTTTGGAACCTCCCAAAAGCGGCAGCTTCAAGGGAAACATAGGGAAACCACAAGTCACTTGCAACCTGTGAGGAGGATATCCAGTGAGCCCTGGGCTGGGCCAGATCTCCGAATTACGCTCCTGAAAATGCGTTCAGAAAGGCCAGCGAAGGTACCGAAGATTCATCTGAAATAACGCGGCCGAAAAAATGAGCGATGGGATTGCGGGGGAAGCAGGCGCACTCCACTGGCACAGCGTGTCTTACCCCAGGAAGTTCAGGTGGCCGCCCTCCTACCACCATAGAAACCACCCCCCCACGTTTCCCCCCGAAAAAACACCAACACCGTAACAACCACCCCTATACGTTCTTCCCGAAAAAGACCACCTTGCGTGGTCGGGATTTGCCCGTTCCGCACATCCAAGTCAAGGGGCGCTCTGCAGGGAGATGGTGCTCTGGCTCTGCGGGCGCCTGGGCTTCCTGCGCAAAGCCACCCCCGTGACCGGTGGGTCCAAAATGGCCGGCCGTGGTTTGAGGGCAAATGGGTATGGGGACGTTTCTCGGGGATACACCTATACCTACCCCGAACGTCGGGTTCCATGTAAATTGCTGGGAGGGTATGTCTTCTTTAGGGGACCCCCCCCCCTCCCCGAAATGGTGGTTGTCCTGCCAGTCCCCTTGACAAACCACCAACAAAAAGGGGTACCTTGCCAACAAAAAAGGGGTACCATGAACAAATTGAAAAACACGCACGCAAACACAAATATGAGAGGCACTACTTTCATCCATCCTTGGGCTCTACCAGAATGATCGCACGGGCTGTGAGAGGATTTATTGCTTGTTTGGCCGCCTTTTTCTGGGCACATACCTTATATTCAACAGACTGATTTGGGGTTGAACCCCGCCCCCTGCCCCCGGGAGGTTGTCATCCCTCCTTTGCGGAGGCTTCGAGGCGCAGCATGCCATGCGCGCCCCATCAGGCGCAGGGCAGCACTCCCCCTGCAGGCTGAAGGCCTGGCGCTTTGCCGCGGACGGCCGAAACCCGCCCAGATCTTCCTTGCTGGTGCTCGCTGGGGAACTTGGTTGACGTTGGAAGGGGGAGCAAAAAATTGAATTTTAGCGGTTAAGTGGGGATTTCCCACTAAACCACAATCAGCAAAAATGCAACATGTTTCCCAAAGAACAACACTGGGAATGTTTGGAATGAACCTAGGGCTTCCCCTTAAAGGAAATTAGTGGGGACTGTTTATGGGGTCATTCCCTCAGTCCCTGCTGAGAACCAGCAAGACCTGTTTGCCCTTTGAAACCAAAACATGCGGGTTATCCTTGTTCAAAAAGAAAATGCCGATCAACCCAGCAGCGCCCATTTCACCCAACTTCTGCTTCTTGAAGGTTGTAGAGGCGTCAAAAGCTCCAAAAGGTGCAATGAAACAGCTTTGGCTTCCGAAGGGATGGTTGAACCCCAAAGGCAAAAAAGCCCTAGGAACACTGGGCTCAGTTGCCCAAAGGCCCAGAAACAACAGGCTAACCTGGTCGGCTGGACAAAAAAATGGACCAACAAAGGGAAGCCAAAAGGTCAAAAGGTCGCTTCGCTTTGGGCAAGTGAGCGGATTCTTTGGTCAACTTGGGTCCCCAAGAAGGAGAAACACCTGATCATGGCTTGGATTGGCTTGATGTGACCGCCCCCGTTTCCAGGATGAAAGTAGATGGCGCATTTGACATTGGTGAACCGACCCACCAGGATGAAAGTGGATGGCACCATGTTTTTTTGATGAACCAGAACGGGGGGGGGGATGGGGAGTTGCGTCGTCATCTTCCTGTCCATGTATGCGAGGCCTAAGGGGGGGCCTGCCACGTGCAGCTGCCCTGAGGAGGCCGACCTCTTCCCCCCACAGAAACGCTGAACCCCCATGTGAAGAAGAAGAAAAAATAGAGCCAAGCCTCCCCCCCTCCCCCCCCGCTTCGCCTTGCACTCCGGGTGTGAGGAGCAGAGCGCCGATTCCGGCGAGGGCGCCGACTCCGGCACAAAGGCCTGGCGAATTGATCTCCCAAGGGGCTACCTTCCACTAACATGGCACCTCTGGGAGGGTACCTGGAAGATTGGTTTCCTCTTCAAGGGACCCCATGTCTGGTGCTATGCTAGTTAGAGGGGGGCTAAATGAGGGGGATTGGCGGAAATGACGAGTCCGGGTGTTGGGAATGAACCGGAAGGGGTTTCCCTTTAAGGGAAACCATAGGATATATGGTTTCTCCGGGGTCATTCCATTTCTCAGCGCCTCCCCAAGTTCCAAAAGGGATGCATCCAAAAGGCACCTACGCTCTTCCCATGCTTGTGGGAGGATAAGTGTTGTCAGCGTGGAATCCTCCAACAGAGGAAAAAAGGGACATCCTATGGTCAGACCCAAATGTGTTTGGGTTTGGCATGTTTGGGTTTGGCACCCGCGCTGTTGTTCAGGGCCCCACTGATTGCAAGTAGCGAGGCCCAGGTAAACTACCTCAGTTTCGCTCGGGTTTTGTGGTTGGAGTTGGTGGGCGGTTCTGCAATCCAGCGTGTCCCCCAGGATGCCTGCAAAGGAGTATGGATCGCGCCTGAAGCTTCTAAACAAGAGTAGCCAACATTAGTCTCTATGGTTGATACCTTTCACATGCAACTCACGGGCGGGATGATGGCAGCCCTCCGGGCTGAGAAACAAACTAACTCAGACTGAGAAAGTTTGCTAAGTCCACTGGAACAATGGTTTCTGCCGTAAAGCTTTAGCCTCGGGGCCAGGGTGCAAAGGTTCGGGGCACAGGGGGAGCCCAGAAACAAACCTTTTGAGACGCTAGTTTCATGGAGGGGAAACTTATCTTTCCAGGCTCGGAAAATCTACCTCTGCTAGTTTTTTTTTTTTTTTTTTTTTTTTTTTTTTCTGGGGCAAGTGCCACCAGCATCACCAGCAACATCCCATAACATCCCTAGCATAGGAAAAAGACATATGGAATCATCAACACCCTGAGAATGAACAGCAAGTGGCTTCAGTGTTTGAGGATAGTTGTTCAGCTGCCAAGGTGTTGTGTCTCTGTGTGTGTGTGTGTGGTTGCGTGTTTGTGTGTTTGTTTGCTTGTATGTTGCGTGTGTTTGCGTGCCTGTGTGTGCTTGTGTGCATGTGTGGTTGTGCCTGCTTGCGTGTGCGTGTGTTTGTTTGCTAGTGTTTGTGCGCTTGTGGGTTCTGTCTGTGTGTGTCTCATGCACCGCATAGGTGTTCCATTGGTGTCCTTCTTGCTGTTATTTATGATGGCAGGGCAGCGACTCCCTTGCACATTTTGTTATCTTGGCAGTTACACGGCTGCCACCCACAAACCCACCCTAAACAACCGCAACGCTACCCTGAACAAACCATCGGCTAACCCGCTAACCCTAACCCTGAACTAACCCTAAACCCACCCCGCAAACTACCCTATGCCCACCTTGAAACCGGCCTTAAACGAACCCTAAACCGATCCTGAACAACACTAACCCACCCCTCAACCCCACTCTGAACTCAACCCCAACCCACCCTAGACCTGACCTATACAAATCCTCAGCCAAGCCTGAACCCACCCTAAACCCACCTTAAACCGGCCTTGAACCAATCCTAAATGCTCCCTCACCTCACCTCAAACCAGCCCATGCCAAAACTCTCAACTAACCCTAAACTCAGTTCAGTCAGCCCAAAAGCCAACCGCAAACAGCCCTATATCAACCCTAAACGCACAAGCAGACTACAACCCAGGAGCAAACCCACAGCCCTCCTTGGCGCAACCGAACCCCAACATGGGGCCACCCAGAGGAAGAGAGGGAGAACACTCCCCCCCAATAGCCATGGGATTGGTGGCAAATTGACCATGCACGTTGGAAAAGTGGACCCAACCTCGTAGAACAAAGTATCCTCCGAAAGCAGTAACATGCATATAGGGGGCTCTATCTCATACAAGATTCCCTAGGATGGCGCTGTGGGTTCCATGTTCCTATGCGGGAATTAAGTCGTGCAATCGTGGCTAAAAGTAGTTCTATTCGTGCCATTTTGAAGTAGTGACCCGCAAAGCACAGCAGGCGCATCTTAAATCAATTTCACGCCATGGCGTGCCTGAAAAGGGGAATCGGATCCCCCAAAATGGATTCAGTGTTCCTTGTCAGCCCACACCAAAAAGGGGGTACCAACCCCAAGACCAGCTTACACCCACACCAAAACGGGATACCAACTCCTAAAAAAGACGAGCCACCCACATCTGGTAACCTTTCGTGGGTTAAATGGAAACTACCACTCAACACTAAGAGGCTAAAAAGCCAAGGAACCGGATGGCTGGGAGCCACCCAGACATGAGACCCCAAACCATCCGGCTGCGGAGCCAAATAAATACGCCGCTGCCTGCACCCAGCTGTCGGGCACCGCAAGCTCTACGGACTTCTCCGCGTCCAGGGCTGCCAGCACCTGGTCCTCAAGTCGCGCGTTTTCCAATGGATCGACTTCGGGGAAGGAGTTGGAACCCCCGAAATCTGGGAGAAAGTGGGGCCACAAGGACGGTTGACTGGAAAAAAGTGAAGTCGGAAAACTAACACAGAACAACTTGTAGCAAGTAAGGGGACTAGTAGAGAATCAAAAGCATGTTTTCTTCGTTTTTTGGCTGGGGAGCGGGAATGATTGGCTCGGCAAAGCGGGAGCAGGCCGAGGAGGTGGGGTGGGTGGGGGTGAAACGCACCACCAAATCAGCTTCAATTAGCTAGCTCTGGAGCCAGTGGGGTCACAAGGACGGTTTATTGGATAAAAGGGAAGTCAGAAAACTAACACAGAGCAGCAGGAGGGGGAACCATCCGATATTTTTCAATCACTCAAAGATGGCCCAAACAAGCATCTAGCCGCTCTTTCTAGGCCACCTGAGCTACTGAGAGGAGCAGGGCTCCCTATATTTCCCCTTAAAACATCACCCCCACAAAGGGACACTCACCTTTCATGGGCCGAAAAGGTGATGCTCAAAACCCCAAAAATGGGACATATAGGGACCGATGAGGAACCTGATTCAATCAGCCTGCAGATTTCCCGGCGACGTGAAATCTGAGACATTTCTCGAGCCGTCCTCTTCTGCGCCGGGCCGGCACTGCACCACTGCCATGTCCAAACTCCTGGTCAGAAACATGTGCAGAAACCAGTCCTCAGGCACCCGTTTCCCCGGAAGGCCTGCGGGGTTCAGGAAAACCCAGCCGTGCTGCAGCTCCTTTTTCCGGGCGGGGGGTGATGGGCTAGTTCAAGAAAGAAATGCTAAGAAATTGTCAACCTTCACGTGTGCTTGTGCTTGGGCTTTCTCATATTTCCTTTAGAATTAGCAAAAACCTCATGTTTCCCAAATTTCCAGATGAAGCCCTGCAATTATTTGCTAGCTGCTCTTTTTCGGGCGCTTCTTCTAGAGCCTCGTCCGAAGAAGGGCTTTTTTCCTGCAGACTCGAGCGTTTTAAGTTGAGCTGCTTTGGGTAAGCGCCTTTGGAATCAAGCATTGCCATTCGGTCACCCGCGGCCGCTGAGTAATGCATGGGGCTTGCGGGATGGAAGGCGATGCTAACAAAGACAACCACCTGTCAAGGAGAAGCATCCCCAAACGTCATGCTGAGTTCACCCAATAACTGGCAAAATGAGGACCCCTGACGTTTCGGCACACTTGTTTAACTGACCAGGCCCTGGGCCCATTCAAAGGAAGCCCAAAGGAGGCTTGTTAAACAAGTTTTGTTTAAGCGCTGGGAGAAACTGGAAAGACTTGGGAAACTTGGGGAACACTTGAGGGGATACCCCTAATCAAACAAAAACAGCACAAAACCACTAAAGGCTGCTGAAAAAAAACCTCTGCAAAAAAATAAAAATATCACTTTTCGTGGGACCAACGGAAATGTCCACCTGGTTGAACCAACAAGTAGTCCAAAGATGCGATACCAAAGAGCCAATGAAATGCCCAGGAAAAAGGCTCGAGGGTCAGCCTTCGAGTCTCGCTCCTGAGGGGCTCCGCACGCTTCACCCCCTCGATCTGCTCCAGACGCCTGATGTACTCCGCTAGCTTCGGCCCAGAGCCTTCCAGGGGCGCTGGGGGCATCAGGTCAGGGGCGGGGGGAGGCGACCCTCGTAACCGTCCTAACCCCTAAGGCCATGGCATTTAACAGGTCGCTCTGAGGTGAAATTTGATCTTCCAGGTACCTTCCCAGAGGTGCTGTGTTAGTGGGAGGGCAGGTAAATTCAGGCCCACATAATTGAAATGTCCCTGGCGATTGGTATGCGCCTTCCGGGTACCGCACGATGAGGCGGCCCTCTGGCAGCTTCTCTTTCCTTGGCCAGACTTGAAACCCAGCAAACAGTCACATGTTCCTGGCTGAAAGGGGAAATTCGACGAAAACTGCTAAAGGACAACGGAAAAAGGTAAGCCTCAAAAAAAAAACGATGAAAACTCTGTTACAGCAAACCCCCCGTCCCCCAAAACAAAAAAAGGTAAGCCTTTGCTCTAGCACTGCTTCCGCGCGCGGATTGTCTGGGCATGCCCGCTGTAGGCGAGGCTGAGGACCACCACCAGGCGCAGCGCGCACGGCGCGCGCGGCGCGCCCATGACGGCCACGCCCAGGCCCCCCAACCCACCGCCGGCTGGCCGGAAGGGATGGGGCTTGACGTCAACGCTGAGACACGAAAGGAATATTCCCACTCCCACCCTCCCCCCCACCTTCCCACGTCTGCAGATGTCTTTCCGGCGCCAGAATCAGAGTAACTTGGTGAGCTGCTATATTTTGCAAGCGCCTGTTTAGAGTACATCGGATCCAGGCAAACTCGAAGATTTGCTTGTGCGTCCTTCCTTCCATTGCGGGGATGTATGGTGTCGTGTAGCGTGAAATAATCCGTGGATCTAGCCCAGAAGCGTAATTAGTTGTTTTGTCCATCCTGAAATGTAAACTTGAAGAAACCAGTTCGAATTGCCTAGCTATGAACCGAACAAGGAATGATTGGCAGTTCAAAGGGATAACGGCAACGGGAAACTATCAGCTTCGATCCGCCCTGTTGAGAACGCCCAACTTGAAAATTTTCTTAAATAACAGCCCTCCTACCCATCAGGGTCTAAATCGAGCTCGGGTTCCATGAAGGTCCTTGCTGAGTGGGACTTCCCCCGGGCAGTCGCCGAGTGCCCCAAGCAGCTACCGACGATTTCATTCCAGATGAATTGGCCATGAATTGGGAACACCCCAAAACACGCTGAATTCCTCCCCCCCCTCTTTGAAAACAGCACAACAGAATAAAGTAACGAAATCCTCGATTGGCGTTGACATGTCCACCAGGCCAGCCATGCTTCACACTCAGCCACGGGCCACTGTTGGCGCCACCTTGGGCCAGCCCCCTTGGGGGTGGGTGGCGGAGGCTGAATGGTTTCAACCCAGTCATTGTAGCCCCCTTGCTGGTCCTACAAAAGGAGAAGGGGCCCGGAAAAGTGACAAGATGAGGCGCTCCTTCAGATGGCAAAGGGTTGTTGCTCGCAGCTCTTGGCAGGCTCACAGCCTGCACAAGGCGTTTGCAGCGAGAATGAGAACCAGCAAATAGAGTATCATACAGCTGCATCAAACGTGGTGACCGTTTTGTGGAGCCAGAAGTGAATTGGCTTTGGGCGCTGCTCAAGGACCCTTCGGCTGGCGCTACTCACGTTCGTCGAAGCGTACCCGCTAGAAAGCCTTGACTTTCCTTCGGGGGAGAGTGAAAGGCTGATTCAAGCTATGTGGTTGATTCCCAAAATCTAGCGATGGCACTGCCCATTTGGGAGTCAATTTCATCTATGGACCCATAGACCTGACAGGCGTCGCCGCAAGGGTGACACTTAGCACCTGCAACTGAGAGACTGCGAGGCAGGATGAAGCTCGTCACCATGGCTGCAGAAAGCTACGGGTGAAAATCTGGCAAGCCAGGTTCAATTGATTTTGTCACGTGCTCGCTATGTAGGTACCCCTACTTACAGGCCTCTTGTTTGGTTCTCCCCAGCTTTCCGAGCAATTTGGAAATGGTTCTGAAATAAGCTTCTGAAACGGTTACTCGGTACCCAAAACTTCCCTGCAAACAACCTGCACTCACACACGGCAATGCTCAAGATGCAAAAGGTCGAAATTTGCTTCGTCACCTTACCCAAGTTTTGGCTGCTTGGACCCCAATCCTACCCCCTTCTTCGGCTTCTTCTCTTCGCCAAGCCCCCCCCCCACCCACCCCCAAACAGCAACTGAAAACACAAAACACATCTCACAAAACGAGACCAACAGTTGCTCCAAGGGAACTTTCTGCAAACCTCAAGGGCAAAGGAAACTGTCTGTAAGTAAGTTGTTATGACTCACAAAGCTGGGAATTTGGAATCCCGGTTAGAACCATCGTGGGTGAGCTCGGGTTACCCGGAATGTTGCTCATCTTATATGATATATACATACCCAACTTTAAATGAGTGTATACATACAGACCCAAAATCACATATGCCTCCACATCTATGTGCAGGTTTTATGTGGCGCATGGTGTGAGTGTGGCCTGCTCCCTTCGCCTCGCGGACGCTGAACTCCGCGCGGAGCGAGCCGGAGAAGCCGAAGAAGCCGTGCTTTGCGCGCGCGCGCGCAAAAGAGCTCTCGAGGGAATCAACCAGTGCCCGGTTCCCCCAGTTTGAATCATGGTGAATGATGAAGCTTCAAACACCTGTGGCTTTTACACTTTTGGTCTAAACGCCTATGCACATTGACCACACTGGCTTTGTACATCTCGCTTTGGATCCCTTTAAAGGTGCCCGTTGCTCAAACAAATTTTGCAAAAAGGAGGATCCCTCCAGCTCCTGAAAATCCTGGGCCCCGGAACCCTTGCCAAGAAGCTCAATCGTCTAGTGCAGTCTACGCCCCAACCCACCCATGTTGCTGTTAAGGGCACGTTTAAAGGCATAAACATCCGAGAGAGAAGTGGTCCAACACAAGGAGCCACTTCTTCTATGTGGGGCCTCCTTTCGTGAGGCAAGCCGCGTCAGGAGGTCAGGAGGTAAGCCATGGAGCAGAAAACACCCTCTTCCAAAGAACAGTCCTGAGCTTGCCCTTCCCTGTTTATCCTGCGGGCCCTCTCTTGGATACATCCTCCGTGGAAAACAGTGTAAAGGCTGGGGCCATCCCTGGAAACAAATGGGTATGGGTCAAAATTAACACACCAGGAAACCGCAGGTTTTAGTCCATTCCAGGGTTCCATGCTAGGTACCTATTTTTGATCCACAGCCATATGTTCCATCAGACGAGTGCCTAAGCATCCCGATGCGCCTAAGCTTTCCTTTCTGGGCAAACAAAATCATGGCCTCGTCAAACCTAGGCACAACAAGCCGTGGCAGGGCTGTGGCAGGGCCGCGTCCTGCTTTCCAGGTGCTTGTTGAGCTCCGTCATGTCCGTCATGGCCTTCCGAATCGGAGCGCTGAAAACTGGATCTCGAGCACGGAAGTCCGAAAGCATCCATGCAGGACTCTCCGGCAAAAGGCACGTCAAGGGAGCCATCCGCACATTCAACAATGAAAAATGGAGCTCCCAAGTAAAGGACCCATATCATGGTGAGCTCATGTTTCCCCCAAGTGAGCTCGCCATGACACAGATGGAGTCACGTGCCACGCCCGGCTGCCAGCCCCACCCCCTCTTGCTCAAAACCAGCCGATGAAAATAGACTCCTCGGGAATGCCCCAAATCGGGCAGAACGGGTGCCAAACAGCAGGTTTCCCTGCATCTGCGGCCAAAACCGCCAAAGTTGAAGGCTCAGCGCGAGATAGAGGCAACTTGAGCTGGGCTGTGTCAAACAAACAATGGAAAAACAAGGAGCAGCATTGGAGCCAACATGTTTTTGATATCTCCGTTTCCGGGCACAGCGGGACCTTGTGCCAGCGCCACCAACCCATTGGCGGATTGATCGGATCCCACCTGGGAAAGCATCAAAAGAAAGCCTTAAAGTACCCTCCTTGGCTGCTGCTGACCTCTCTTCCAAAGTTTAACTTTTGGTGGGTCCAATGGAAAATCTACTTCCCAAAAAGCTAAAGTCCAAAGATCCATTACCGAACAGCCATAAACTCAAGGTACCCTTTACTTGGCGCTTGTCTGCTAGGCTGCTCTATCCGCCCCTCCGCGCATCCCAATGCACCGGCGCCTTGCCCGGCGCGGCAGGCGCGGCGCCGGCCTTCGGGGCCCCCCCGGACTTCGCTGCGGGCTGCGCCTCGGTCAAGGCCAAGCTGAAATCAGCTTCCGAGCCACTTGCTGGGTTGGATTGGTTTGGAGGTGTTCGGGCTGGTTCGGCTTGCGGTTCGCAAGAGCCAGCAGATCAAATCCGCGAACCAAACCTGAACCGCCTGAAGGACAACCCGGGCGGCAAAAACATAGGCACAGTGAAGTACAGCTGGGCGAAAGTAGATGGCAAAACGGTCCCATTTTGGCTCAGCAATACCCCAAACCGAAAGAAAGGGCGAATTCACCCAACCGTAAAGTCCCCCCCCCTTTGAGGCGTCCCCAAAAATACGGTTGACTGCTTATGGACCCCCCCCTCCCCCCCGGAAAAAGGGGGGGAAAACCAAAAAAACGGCTGCGTGCTTCAACGGTTGGATCTCCCCTGCTTTGAGGCTGTGGCGGCCTTGGCTTTCCCCCCGCCGGCCTTGCCTGCAAGCGGTCGCCCCAAAAAGAAGGGTGGCATCCTCAAAGGACATACGCCTTAAGCTCTGAAAACCTTGGTAGGGTGCCTAGGGCCTGGAATGTCACGTTGAGCAGGGGTCCAGGCTACAAGCACCAACCACCAGAATGAGGGAAATTCTCCAAATGAAGTGCCCTCCGAAGTGTCTAAAGCGAGCCAACTGAAAAATGCCCAGAGAAGAGTCAGAGGCCCTCCATGGAGGATGTGCAAAGCATGCGCAGAGACGTGGGCTGAGTAACCTATGCCTTGGCTTCCTCAACCTGCACCCAACGCTCAGACGCCTGCCAAGCCTGACTTCCAAAAAAAGCACTATAGGCGGATTTGCTCCAATCCCTATCCAAGAACTGAGTTGTGAAAAAAACCTGTCACGCGGGCCGATTGAACTCTTTGTTCACATGTGCACATGTGCCGCAAGCCTGCACAGCACTTCGACCATCTCACTTGCCCAAAGGACTGGGGATCAAAGGTAACCTCGAAGCCACCCAACCGAGAAGCCGAGCTGGTTGCACGCCAACCCTGACATCGAGCTCCCGCCTCCCTCCACCAGGAAGTGAATGCCAGGCTTGCCGGGCCTGAGCTGGCCCCTGCCAAGCCAATTTTCTAGCGATCATCGGTTCGGGGATCGGAGCTCTGATCCACATGGAATCTGACAGAACGAGGCCCCTTCCGCCTTCTCTTTCGGGCCTTCTGGCATGTTCCATGGCAACCAACGCAGGCGAGGGCAATTGGACTACTTTTGCCTCCACGCGAAAATGGCTCCAAATGGACAGCAAGCCCAAACAATGAAATTAGTTGTGTTTTCAATGTTGACCTTCGGGCAAGTGAATCGGGGCGCCTCAAAAAGTAAAGAACATCCATCCTCTTACGCCTAGGGTGGGGCAAACTTTGAAAATAGCTCGTTGCTTAAAGCAAGTTTTTGATGGGCAACGGCCTTGCAACCCGAAAGACCGTCAGGCCTGCCAGGTTCGGCCGCATTGGCTCCCAAACGCGGATATCCTTTCTAAGAAACGGAGCGCATCCTTTTGGTTTTTTTCTCACGCTGTCTAAGAGACAGCCAGGTTTCTACAACCCACATCAACTCTTGGCGGTTTCGAAGCGGCCAGTGTAAACTGGAGCTCCCCCCCCCAAAAAAAAAAAGAAGAAGAAAAGAACATGGTTGAGATCTACCTGTGGGTGTCGAACACTTGTCACTTTACAAGGTCCCCAAAAGAGGAAGACACTGAGACGTCGCAATGCAAAAAGAAAGTTCCTCAGTTTAGGAAACATCCCAAGGGCGCCGCTGGGCGTTGGTCGCCGCATCCTGGCCACTGTCAAACGGGTGACAAGTGAAATGCCTCCAGACCTCCTGAATTTATACCTGAAGCGCGCCGCGAAGCTTCCTGGGAAGCAAGGAAGAAGACTGGAAGAATGGAAATATTGATAATATTGTCAATCTCCTTGTGTCTGCCTTTCGGGAAATCCAGCAATACATGGAGTACTGAGCACCCAGAAAAAGGTCACATTTGCATCAATGAGTCTGAACCGCCCCCGCACAATGCTGCACTTGCAGAAAAAGCACCCGCAAAAAAAACGGCTCCTTTGACTGGCTCCAGAAACAAATGCATTTGACAAAGCTTGCAGCTGGGGGCATGTGACAGAAAGTTCCGTTCCGCCCTCCCGGGAGCTTTCTCGCTTTTTCTTTTTTTCCTGTTTCGCGCGGGGCTGCGGCATTTTCGTCGGTGCTCGAAGGCTCGAAGATGCGGCGGCGAACGACGCCGTTTGTTTGACAAAGGACCGGGCGCCAGGACCTAAGATGCGGAAGATTGAGCGCTTGGACTTTTGTGGTTTTGGCAACCTTTGCTAAAAGGTTTTGGCTACACAGCACCCGGACTTGAGGCCTTTCAGCCAGCTTTCCGAGCCAGGACCGTCTGAACTAAAGAGGATTTAGCCCAGCGAGTCGAGGGCGCTCCCCTTTTTAGCCTCCTTTTGAAAAGTGCCCCTTTGCAGGTGGTTGGCACTTAGTAAGCAAATAGACGTGCCCCAGTCGGCACTGAACTGGCACAGGGCACTTTGATGCGTCCGACTGAACGCTGGCATTTCCGTTGGTGGGGCGGACTCCAACGCGCGAACCCGCGATGCAAAGCGCGCGCCTGGTGCTCAGGGCTCGCCGGGGAGTCGGCGGCCCTCACTTCCACCGACACCTGACGGCCAGTCATGAAGCTGGCCCCGTCCCCCCTTCTCCCCCCGGTTGTGTTGGGTGTGGTTAGGTTCGTGTGGTGTGATTTGTGGGGGTTTGCCTCACCCAAAAAAAACACCTCATATTTGCTACAAGGGCCTAACAAAGATAGAGTTGGGTGTTGGGGCCTTTAAATCAAGACACTCATCTGTGTAAATTCAGCCCCTTACAGGTTACATCGCTACATTGCATGATGGTGCTTTCACCAAGGGAAGCATGGGACGCGGAGACAAAAAGGGCCCCCTAAATAGATATGGAACAGGACCCCTCACTATACATTCACGAGTTGAGAGGGCAAAAGGGCGATGTTCAACAAAATTGCACCTCGGTTCACGACAGTTTGCCTCATTTGCCCTCCTTGAGTGGGCATGTGCCAGCCTCTCACTTGCCCGAAGCAAGCCAATTTACGGGGCCTGGTAGTTTAGGGCTGGGTTGTCATGCAATGTTTTCAAGGGGAGCGCGTTGAATTCCCAGCAACAAATCCAAGGGACACCTCAAAGACAACAACACTTCTGGACAATGGCGCGCGCGCGCGCGTGCGCAACTTGTCTAGCACAGAAGCTCCGTCGCACCAGCTGCCGAGTCCTACGAGATAAAGACAAGCCGATGCCTTGAGTTCCTGGGGTCGAAAACTTCTCCCCAATCCATTTTCTGCGCGTCCATTGTTTTCACCAAGCTGAGGAAACAATCCCTGGACGCTTCCTCCCGAATCAACTTCATTTCGCCCGCATCGAATCCTCGCGCCTGCAACTTTTGCTGCAGGTAGGCGACCTCAAGAGGCCCGGTCCAACAGCCAGTGGAGCGCAGCAGGATCTTAACCATAGCTTCCGCACATGATATCGATACGCCGATGTGATGGCCAGCACGCCTTGGGGGGGGGGGAGAGAGGTCACACGTACTTGAGCAGATCCCTTTTCTTGGGCCTTGGAGCTGTAAAATTTGCAGAGTGGCTCAAACACCCAAAGTGAGGAATCCCTAAGTAAGGGGCCTGCGTCCAGGTGGTGAGATCCGCTTAGCCCCCTCTGATGCTCGCTGCGGTTTCTCGACAATCTTGCTCCCGTTCTCTCAAAACCAAGTGGCATACAATGACGAAACGCCAAAAGGCTTCAGGGCGCTCCTGCCTTCAGGGGGAGGGGGGGGGAGGGTCCCCCAATTCCATTGTTCCAGTCTTACCACCCAGGGGGATGCGTTTGCTATAGACTTGGCACAGGGGGTGATGTCCAACGGTCCAACAGTGTTAAGCCATTTCCGAGAAACCACATGATCGCCGCTGGCGCGGCACCTTCCGAAGTTGAAATGGTCTGGCCACAGTGGACATTGATGCTTCCAGTTGACCTATCCCTCAATAAATCATTCAGGGCAGGAGTGCCCTTCGCAACCCCTCCCTCCCCTCTGGGCGTTTTGTCCCTTTCTGGCCTTCTAGGCAATCTGATTGCTCGGGTTGGCTTCTCTTTCTTTCACACCATCGGGCCTTGCCCTGGGGTTTGGTGGCTTTTCCTGGAAAGAAGGATGCATGGAAAGAATGAGAATTCAGCACAGGTTGGGAAGGGGCACCCAACAGCACAAGTTGATACAGATGTTCAACTAAACAGGAACCAATTTAAGACATTTTGTTCAGGCCTGGCTTCCCTGCCTCCCCCTACTTCTCTAAGCAAGATTCTAAGGCTGTAGAGGTGCTTCGAGTACGTTGCTCTCCACTTTTGCTGCTGAAGCCGAACCCTGAAAGGTGTTTCGGTTTACTGCTGGTTTTTGCCCTCTTGAGCGGCTGCTGTGGTATTGGCGTGAGTACTGTGCGCAGTATTCCTTGGTGCCCTCGTGACGACTGTGTGGCACGGATCAGGAGTTTACCTTTCCACTTGCTATATCTTGTTTCCTTCGAGTTTGAAGGTTCGAGATTTTACATTTCCATATACCCTGGTAATACCCTTCAGTATTATGGAAGACTCAACCCGGAGGAGAGAGCTCACCTTGCCAAAGGGAAGGCTGTTTTGCAAGGAATCCTGACTTCCTGCAGCCTGATTGTGATGCCGTTGACATCTTTTCAGTTACTCCTAGCCAGGCTGCTAGGGAAGAGGGGGGCTTGGAATTGTCTGATGGAAAACTTGCCATATCTTTGGAAGTTGATACATGGAACACCCTGCATGTAGATCTGCCACTCGCCAGAAGAAGCCGGAGGCCTCCGGCTGAAATTCCCCGGCGCCCTGTCGAGGCCCGAGGCTAGGGCATTCTCCTTGATCAGCGCCAGCTCGTCGAAGGGCAGCGAGGCGTCCAGCGCAGAGACCCCGAAGGCCGCCGCCTGGCCGGAAACGCGGCACGATGTCGAGCTGCGATCCATGGGGCGGAGGGGTCGAAAGGAAACCCGAAAGGGCCAAAGGACTAAGGGCCAAGATAGATTCTGGCAATAGGGGAGGGGAGGGGGGGGGAAATACGGAAAATGCTCATCTAGCCATCATCATTTTTCACTCGAAGACGAAACAACCAAGAGACCCAGAAAGTGTGGTGGCGTGTTTGGAGGTTGGCGGAGAAAGTCACGACCAACGGGTGCAAATGATGTGGTGTGTTTCTGGGGTTGCTAGGATTTGCAGCTCAAGTTGCAAAACCCTGGGAGGAAAGCGACCCGTTCTTGGGAGGGGCATGGTGTTCTATTCCTTTAAGCTACGGGCCAAAATGCATGGCTTCGCTTTGGTTGCGGCTGCAATGCTTATTTTTCCCAATAGTGTTCCTTGCGGCTTCCCGTTAAAAAAAAAAAAAGAAAAAAAACTTCGAAAACAAAGCACGCGCCCGCGAATAAAGGCAACGATGCCAACCCCGGGTTTTCCTCGTCGCGCTTGAAGGCGGCGAAGGGCCCCAGGTGCTTGCCGAAGGGCTTCAGCGAGGCATCCTGCGCAAGGAGTGCGCCGCAAGGGGGGAGCCTCTGGTGGGGTGCTGGGTGGACAGGGGATGTCGCCTTCAAAAAATTGAGCGGGTGCACCATTTTCACACAGAGCCAGGTGAAGCGACCAGGAAAAGCCAAGGTAAGTCGCTATTCCACTTCAAGCAGAACAAGCCCGGCTCAATCTGATGTCTGAAACATATTGCAAACTGTCTCATCGCGAAGCGGATGGGGTTTCGAAGGCTCAAACGCAACTTCTTCGGTTCCTCGGATCGAGAAACATCCAAGCCCTGCGAGTGACGCTCGAAGACGGGGTACTTCTTCCAGCTGAAACGCCACTTGTCGGGTCGGGCTTTTCTGCTCAAATGGGCGGGGGGGGGGAAACCCACTAATCGAAGGAGGCTTCACAGACGAGCTGATCCTTGGGGCTGTCGACACCAGAAGTCACACAAGGAGCTCAAGCTGGCAGGGGATCTTTCCTGGGATCCCCTTTCTTATCAAACCTCCGGACAGCCAGGGAAAACGGATCCGGCTTTTGAAAACGAAGGTGGAAAAGACAGGTGAATCAACCCCTCGAATCTTTGGTTGTCTTCCGGAACCCACCCAAAACAAGAATGGGCGTCGCTGTCCTGTTGGTCTCGTGGATTAGGCTTCATGCTGCCCAAACAAAACCATATCCTACCCAGACAGACCTCCACTGGCGATAGGAACTCAAAAGACTTGTCCCTTTTCTGGGCTCCCCAAACTTGAACCGAGAAAAACAGAAAAGCCAACCACTGGAGGGCTGAGCTTTTCGGGACCCGAACCCAGGCATTGAGCCATAAAAGCCATAAAAGCAATGGTCGGCAACACCATCTGTGCAGTTGAAGGGACTTCCTCCAAGTCACATTTCCCAAATGTTGGCAAAGTGCGTACAGGCGGCCAGACATTCTTCGTGTTTCAACCAATGCTGTGTGAACATGTTGAGCCCGCTGCGGCTTAATTTCAGCCTCCTTTGAGTTGTCCTTTGCCAAAAAAAAAAAGGCACCAGGTCCGGTCTGGTTGTCATTTAGTTCACTCAAATTTGGCAACACCCCAGAGGCAATTTTCAAACAAAAACGGCCTCAGCCCCGAAACCCGGTGCCAAAACCCGCCCCGCAGATCTCGACGGGGGCGGGGGCTCAGTCGGGAGCCGCCTGCATCAGCAAGGTCATGATCTCCTTCCACTGGGCGCTGGCCTGCGGGTTCGCCTTCATCTCCTCCTGTTGGCCACTCGAGGGGAGGTTTGCCGGGACTGACCAATCCGGTGTATCCCTCCCAGAAACTTGGTTGGCGCTGACAAGGGGAGCAAGAATTTGAACTTTAGCAGTAAAGTGGGGATTTCAACCACTAGACCACAATAAGCAAACAAATGTGACATGTTGCCCAACAACAACCATGGAAAACCAGCACTTGCAAGGTCCACTTAAAATCGGGAGGGACCTGGCCCGCTGCTTTTCTGCTCTTCTCCAGATCCGCAGCCGGATTCGGTCCTAAACCCCAAGCAAGCTTGCCACCCCCTAGCGATTTCTGGCTTCCCGAACCTGGAAAATGGTCTGGGCCCCCCAATGGTCGCGACTTCTTGTGGCTATCCTGGTTGGCAACGCAGGTGTTGTAGGAATGTTCCGCTTCAGACGTTGGGACCAGCCACCTTGAATTGCATCGCCGGAATGCTCGTCCCAATGAACCAAGCAGAAAACTCACCAAACCCCAACCCAACTCGTTGGTTGGCGCAAAGTGGACCCCCCTTTTCAAAAATGTTAAACGCCGCGCCTTGCTGACAATAAATTGGACATCAGCCCCAACAGCAAATCACCCGGCAACACGCTTTGCGCCCCCCTCGGAGCCACAACACAGCAGAAGCCACGAAAAGCACAACCTGCAGCTCACACCAAGCGGTCAACAGGCCTGCGCGATCAAAGGCAGCTTGCCCTCGGAGTGGCAGCTCCTGAGAGCTCCAACAGAAAACCCCCCAGTGGCTGAAGGGTTCCATGGTCTTAGGGGCGTGTCCGAGGCTTGATGCGCCATTTGCTTAAGCCCCCTGGAAACAAGTAGTGATAGATTCCCTTTAAAACCAACAGGGGAAAAGTAAAACATATTCTTAGGCAAATGGAAGTGATGTTCCGCTCGAATGGGTCAACCTGCCGGTTGTGACTGTCTGCTACTGGACCTGTGGCTCGTGCTGCCGTCTTTTGCAAACTACACCCGGAAAAGATTGGCCTCCGAAGAGGCACACCCATATGACACAAATCCGCGTGATTTTGAAGATGACTTCCAATACCTCTCAAAACCGCTATACCCCAGGGAAATATATGAGAATCTCGCCAGTAAATGCCGCTGTTGCCCATGTTTCCTTTGCAGTATTGGCTGGGAGCAGTGGGAAGCCATCTGAGATGATGAACAGGGATAACAGTGACATTGCATGTTTGAGCGGTTGTTGCAAACTTTGCAAAGATGAATGCCTCCTCGAAAATTGAAGCCTGCTGTTGATGGCAATCTATCCAGTAACGAAGCCGTAAGTAACCTTTCCGCGCAATGCAAGTGAGGAACAAGGGTCCATTTGATAGTGGTGGCTGCCCAACTCAAAAGGATCGTACGCACTGTTGTATCTCCTTGGAGGTTTTTAGATGATTTCTTGGCGTACATGGGGAAGCCCAACATGTGACCATGGGAATGTCACATGCATGAGCGCATGCTCCAGCGAACATCCTACCCTTAATGACGTCCTTCTCTCACGCGGTCTCTTAGAAGAGGTTGAAAAGGTGAGAAGACCCCAGGCTTCTCCAAGGCCCCTTGAATTTGCTACCTTCAATCCCGACCTACCCCAGGGTGCGAAGCCATTTGGGCCAGACTTCGACCCCTGCAAAACGTTTCCTGAAGGTTTGGAAATGAAGAAAACGCAAAAACAAAACAAGCGCAAAAGGGCTTCAGTCTGGCAATGAAAATGGGCCCAACCGACGCCTTCGCCGCAAACTGCCGTCGAATTCGATTTCAGCCCCAGGCATCAGCTTGGCAAGCACTGTCCTCAGATTTCACGGAGGCGGGGTGCTCGAAAGAACCATGACTTAAACTTCAAAGGAGATTCCTCTGAAAACAAAGAATGTGATTTGTTTGGGCTCCATGTCAATCTGCAAAGGGTTTAACCGCTTTTCAAGTGGTCAAAAGCTTTCAAAAGTGACTTCTGTGAAACCAGGGAAAGAGCAAGCAGAGCTAGGCATAGAACCCAGCAAAGTCCCTTTTGGAGGATATTGTCTTCCAGCGCTCAGCTTCTAGTGAATAGGATGCATGCACGTGCTTAATTGACGCCTTGTACTTCCGTGCTTGCGGTATTCTCCGTGGGCTGGCATTTGTCCGTTTCGCCCTTTTGCCCTCGACACCAGCCGAAACCGCTCCAAGCAGGCACAGTCCGATCCGACATCTGGGCTCAGCGGCTTCTTCCATTCTGGGAACTCCTGGCGGGGATGCGGTATCCAGGCACATTGCGCGGATTCAGCTTCGGTGCATGCCCCTAGGTCAGCAACCAAGTGTTGAATGGTTATAAGGGGTTGAAGCAAAGCATGCCCAGAAGAAAAGAAACCGCTAGTTGTGTTTCGTCAAACCCGAGCTTCCAATCCTGAATCGGTGCGTGTATATCCCCTTACCCCTAGGCGCAAATGAAACCGACCTGGCCTAGCGTGTGACGAGACCTGCTTGAGAAGGGATGATTGCAAGGGACCCTTTGGTTGGATGGTCCTTGGAGAATCAGTCAAAACTGGGCGCTTAAAAGAGACTCTCAGTTTCCCAAATGCCCATCATTTTGAAATGCGCTACCTGAAGTGTGCTTGATGAGACTTGCAATGGCGCCGTGATATGAGCAGCATCGGCTCTCGCTAGCTCTCGCTCGGCCATCCCTGGATCTTTAAAAGCTTCTTCCTTGTGCCAGAACCAGTGAGCATTCTTAACGGTTTTCCTTGAAAAGCGTCCAGAAGACAGTTATAAGGGGTTGGCAAATTGTCCACTCTTTGCAAGCCCGTAATTCGGCCAGACCTTCGAATCGTCAAAAGGTGCTGTTGTTTCTTAACATTTTCATCTAGGCAATCCTCTTCCAAAAAATGTCAAAGTGAGAAAGACCAAGTAAGTAGCAGCTCGCCGGCAAAGAGAGAAAGATCAAGTATATAATCCAGTTGCCCAGTGGGGAGCTTCTTTGGGCTTGACCAGTTTTTTTGTTGGGAAGCCTCCAAGCAGAAAGGGAATTAGAGGGTGAAGTCCGCTCAACAGCTGGTGACTCGATTAGAAAGGGGCAACAGCGCGGCAAGATGACGCCAAATAGGATAAGCCTGTTTTGGGTTGGCCATCATAGGCAGGAGACCCGCTCCAGGCAAAAAAGGGAATACCACTCAATGTAAGTCAGACCAGCTTTCTTTCGACCGAGACCCCTCGTGGACGGCCCTGTTCTTGCTTCTCAGGGAACGCGGGAACTGAACTGAACCACCCAACTTGTGGTTTCGCTCTTCCCGGGATCCCCTTCCAGCTCACTCCCCCAAAAGTGCTTCCCTAAGAACTCCGGAAAGCTTTGGGCCACTGCCTTCGCCACGTAGACCACCGCCGACTTGGCAGTTCCGCTCTTGGACGCCTTCTCCTGCCTCGGGTCCGTCACTGGGCCAAGTTTCTCCCTTTGGTTTCCGGTGAAGTCGGCCAAAGCGGTGTCCCTTGGGCTTCCTCTCGCCCAGCCCCACAAAAAGGGAGGAACACCGGCAAACTCGGTTTAATGCCTCTAATGGTTGAACAATTCAGAGCAAACAACAAAAATATCAAGAAACATAACAAATACCGTCGATTCAAAACTATCAGAATTCAGAAAATAACGAGAAATTGTGATGATAGCATGGTTCAAATTCAAACAGTGAGTCAGCAAATCACAAAAGTGGGTGGCATTCAAAACAATCAATACAAACAATGTTGGAAGAACGTGAAAAGAACGGCTTCAATAGCGACTAGCTCACTTCCACAATTTCGTCCACACACATTGGCCACAGATTGCATTACGAAATCCGAGACCGCCCAGTAGCCATGGGGAAAGAAGTGGAACAAACATGAATGCTATGTCTTCCCCTTCCGCAAAAGTTAATTCACTGGTTAGGGTTAGAAACGCTTGTCCTGTTGTAGGAAGTCCACAGGGTCTGTCCTCAGTCGAACCAAAGGCCAGCACAAAAACTGGGCACAAGTCAAACTCAAAATGCCTTGCCTCCTCTAACCAAAAATATCCAAGGCCAAGTAGGTTATCAATGAGCCAAGAAGGAGCTTACCAAAAACCAGTGGTAAAGAATCTAAAGGCCGGAAAGCTGTCGGGGACGGAAGTCTGACCTGCACTTCGGATTGATTCTGAATGCGGCTCATGTCCCCTTCACTGCTACGTCCCAAGATAGTTCTTGAAATCGCTTTGGCTAGTTTCCTCCTCCAGAACATTTACAATCAAAACCTGGTACTAAAATGGTCCACCCCGAACCCTGTAAAGAATTAAGAGGGAAGCGGCAACTATTTATGGTTGGGAGTGTCCCCTACTAACCTTCACTTACCCGGGTTTTGATTGTGACTCGACATGAGGCCTGGTGGGACTTAGTGCTGAAATCTAGGTCGGCTCACGTTTGTCTAAGCTCCGCACAGCTTGATGAAATCATGCGGCACCTCGGCTTGGGCTCGGTCGGAAGGGTAAAGTGCGCCCCGCGTCCCTATTCATCAGCATTCCAACTGATGCATGGACCGTGGCCTGCCACACCCCAATGACGAGAAGGCCTTTTAGGCGACTCGCCCCAGGGTTGGGTGGGTGGGAAAGAAAGCTGTTTTGGCTCAGCTTGAGCCAAAATGGCCCCCATACGGCGAGCACATTTTGACTCAAGCTTACATGTTCCCTGAATGATGCCATGTCACCCAAGGCCTGCCAAGCACTAACATGGAACACATTCAGAGGAAACATAAAGCGTGAGACCGACACACACTTTTCCCCCAGGCAAAAGCATGTCAGCTGTGTATGAATGTTAATGCATTGGTCACTGACTGCCCTCAGCTATGCTACTGAGGTGCAGCAGTATCCAGCTGGACCCCCAGCTTTTAGCCCAACGCACTTTCACACACGCAAGACGACCGGTCTTTTCTGCGCTCCACCCAATGCACTTCACATGAAACTAAACACTTTGATACATGCTCGCATGGGGAGTAAACATAGTTCCTGTCTGAAGAAGCTCTGCTGTACGTAAAACTGATTGAGCTGGGACCATGGGTCATCCGCTCCAAGTCTTGAAATGGCGTCACTCCAGTTGCTTTTGGATTGAATCCACTCAAAATAAATGGACGTCTCTAACCCGAACATCGCAGCATGTGTAAGCATGGCTAATTGATCAAGGTCAGGGGTATCTGAACGGCCACGCACCACGGCCATCAGAGCAGCGACATTGTCCAAGAACCAGAGTCCTGTTCTTCCTCGGAAATGCTCGGGGTACACGGAAAGGGCTGCAAGTACCATAAGCAGTTCCAGCTGTGCTATGTGCCACCCATCTGCCCGCCAGGAGTCGTACAACGTCTGGGGCACATGAACCACATGCCCCAGCCTAGCTTCACTAGCAAGCCCAGGATCGAGCACCACTAGGAAGCCTGGGGGTTTCCAACGCAGCGTCTGAGGCTACTACGAACCTACGTGGGTTGGCTGGGGCTAGTGACCAAAGGCGTCTGGGACGTTCTGCAAAAACTGACTCAAGCAATTGGAAAGCGCTTTCCAGTGCCGGTGTCAACGCAGACGTCCGCTCATACTGTCTATCCTTGAGAGCCCCCAACCCTGCTTTCCCAACTTTCCCAAAAATCCCTTCCTGGAAAAAGTTGGTGCAGCCAAACAACTTACTAGCAGCGCCTGGTTTCAGCATCCCTGCTGACCTGGCTTCCTGGATGAAGTGGATCACCTTTTTCTCCAACCTGTCTCGGGGCCAGAAGGTTACTGTCTGCTTTGTGGTGAGGTGCTCCAGGTTATGCATCAGACCCAGGAAGTCGCCTTCACTGGAAAAAGGCTGAGATTTCTCGTCGGCCCAAGGAGTACCCAGCTCGGCCATGAATCCCTTCACGGCCACTTGAGCGGAGCCGTTGGAGCTCGCCCAGTCCTGCATGGTGCAGTCATCGAAGTACATGGAGAAGAGCACACCTAGGAAGCGACGAACCAGGGCCTCGCACAGCCTGCTGTATCGGTTGAAGGAAGTGACTGCAATTGGCAACCCAAAGAGCATACCACTGTACAGCTGGAATGCTGGACTGTTCCACTCCGGGTGCCAAAAGACCACCACACATGCTTCCGCATGCTGGGGAATCATTGGCACCAGGCGATATGCGTCTGGCCAATCTTCCCCTGCACTGTGTAATTGGTCAGGAATGCCTGCGATGGTGCCTCCTCGGAGGACCGCAGCTTGTTGTAGCGCCCAAACGTGCTGTGCCGGCCGGAGAGCCGAGCAAAACTCTAGGTGGTTGGCATCAGCTGATAGTTCGCTCTGGCCACCCTTGTCAGCATCATCAATTGGCCGCACTTTGCCAGTGCTTTGAGTGATAGGAAAACGAGGGATCAGCCTCACTGGCCGACGCTGCACTTGCCTCTGCAGCTGTTCCCATGTGAGGGGTTCTGTTGCAAACCCTTTGCTGGCATCCTTCAACCCCGACTCCAACATGATGCCATCCAACGCTCCTGGCCTGAGCCGGGATAGAAGAGCGGCGTTGGTGGTGTCCACGTCCGCAAAAAGGGATTGCAGGTGGATAGGGTCGATGTCTCTGGGCGCAAAGGCCCCGCACGGGGGAGCGTAAGCAACCGCCGGGAATCCTGTCACAAGGTCGACTGCGAACATGTGGTCCGGCCATGAAATGATCAGGAGGAGCAGGGCTACCAGTGCAATATGCCTAGTTTTGGTGACTCTAGCAACCCCTGAATTGCCGTAGGTGCTTGGTCACCACCTGCCATCTCCGTGACAGCTCCTTCAACACTCCTAGGTTCCGCATGCGGGCTGCTTCCAGACGGCCTCGATGCTCCCAGGTGAAGTCTGCTGCAAACAGGAGGTCGTGGTCAAGGCAAATGGGTTGCTCCGTGGGGAGTGTCTGGCCTGCTGCTGTGATGGCTGCTTGGAAATGCAAGTCCGGATCCAGACCGTAGGAGACCACTGGCGGCAGGGCCGCACGATGCGCCATGGCTCCCTGCTGTAGCCCAGCTCCCGCTCGGCTCGCAAAGAGGCCTTGCCGATCCAGAAACGCGGGGCCCTGCTCCCCGTCCACTTGCAGCCCATTGCCTAGTCTCCAATCCTTGTAGATAGTGAAGGGTGGCTGATTGAGCAAGTCCTCCACCAGCGGCCATTCCTTCAGCCCCGCAGTAAACTGCGGTGGATACAGCTTCCGGAACGCGGCAATCACCTCCTCCTGGACAAAGTGCATTCCCGGCGTCCAAGGCATGGACTGTGCTGTTGGCATCCCTGCCAAACAGACCCAGCGGCGCCCTGTTGCGCGGGGAAGACCACCTCGTGCCTTGCGCACCTGTGGGATGGTGGTTGTAGCAGCCTCTGCAATGAGAGCATCAGCATGGCAGAGCTGGTGCGGCGCGCAGTCGCAGACTAGGGTCTGGTGGTAGAGTTCCTCCAGTTTGCCGGGAAGTTCTGAGGTCTTGAGCCACTGCACGTACAAGAGAAAACACTCTTCGCGTGATCCATGCTGTCCTGGCACGAATCTAGCTTTCCAGCGTGTGCTGGGCAGCCTGTGCGAATGATGTCCAGGACCAACATAGATGTGCCCCTCCGGAAGACCCGACTGCTTAAGCTCCTCCAAGTCAAATTCAGACACTGACCGGCGCCGTGGTATATGGCTAAGGGAAAAACTGCTGCTGAGGTCCAAGCCCAACAGCACTGCCGTAGATACCATGGACCACTGTCTGGTTGCACGGGAATCCCAGTCAAGCCATGCTCTGCGATCACCCGTACAGCTGATTGGCGGAGAGCGGGGGACACGCAACTGCGCTCTGCCTGTTCTGGCTGCCCACCACGAAGCAGACACCGCAATGTGGTAAGCTAGAGCAGCTGTGTACTCCGCCTCGTCGTGACTCGGGTAGTGCCTCTTCCCATCCACCAAGAAGGGTTTCCACTCCTCCTTGGAGTGGATGTGACGGCACTGGACTGCCACCTTCATGTCGATTTCCTCTATGTTGTGCCTTAGCCTCTGCCGTTTGCATCTAGCACCTTGAAAAACACAGGCGTCATAATCAAAGTCCTGCCAATGGCCCTTGCTCCACATGTCCAGTTCTGTTGGTAAAAACCAGCGCAAACTGTTTTGTGGGTTCTCTCTCACTGATGCCCCGCCTCGGGCTCTGTGAAGTTGGATCTGTTGCAGGACAAAGGCACAGGCTTCGTTGTCTACCTTAACTCTGCGAGCATCCCTGCTCGAGAGGCCCGGTAGCCCTAGAGGATGCTCTTCTGACCTGAGGGGCGGTGGAGCCTCCGACCCATCCGCAAAAACTCTCGGGATTTCGCGGGCCCGGCTCTTGGTAGAACAGTCAAAGGCAGCACATATGAAATCTGTCCGAGTCAGTTCCTCAGCGAGCCATCCCTGGCACGCGGGACTAGACAGGTCATGAGTGCTATCCAGACACCAATCGACCCCCAAACAGTCCCAACCGCAGAACCTGAGGGCGCACGCGACTTAGGCTTGGTTTGAGGTGACTCATACTGTTCCCCAACTGCCCCCATCACCTCAGTGGGTTCAGCGGGGCCCCCTCAACTCTTTGTCTTCTTCACCGGACATGCGTGGGCACCATGGGTCATGTTGCAAACCTGACCATTGCGAAGCAACACGGCACACCTGTGAAGCCCCTTCTTGCAATTGGCCGCCTGGCACCTACCATGTTGGAAGTCCTTGCAGAGCTTGTCCCCTGAGGCCGTGGTGAACTTCACGGGGCGTCCCGCAATCTGCTCCTGTGCCCCTGCTGGCAATGCGGGCTTGCCTTTCTCCGGTTTCGGCAGGGGGGGTGCTGGTGGAAAAGCATGCGGGACAACTGATGCAGGTGTTTCACAAATCCAGTGGGCATCTCTCAATTGCATGGTCTCTTTCACGATAACCCCCAAATGCTTTTGGGACTGCCTGAAGGACTGAACCCAATGAGCACGCTCCTGGATATCCTGCTGCTCCAACCACGCCAAAGCCGATGCACCTCCTTTGGACTGAACAGCCCGAACTGCCCGAAAATAGTAAGCCATGAGGGTATCCAGGAATTTGCACCACTTTGGTACTGCCGCACCGAGATCCCTCTCAGTGCTGGGGTCCGCCCCACCTGGAATGGCCCGCACTCCTGCAATGGCCAGTGCCAGCAAATACGTGTGCAACCGCGACAGGTATCCTGACAAGTCCTTAGTGGCTGGTGCAACTTCCTCAGGTGCATCCATGTACAACATGTCTCCGACTTTCTGTCGCTTGCGGGACGATGTAACCTGGAACATCAACGTTTTCACCAACCACAAATTGGTGACCATCAACATCCTCTTGTGGCACTCCCGTGCCACTCGAGATATCAATGAATCGGAAGGGTGAATTTCCGGCGGAAAACTGAGTTTGTACCTCCTCCAAAAACTCGTCTTCAAATCAAGTAAATCTTCGTCCCCCAACGGATCGTCCAGGTCCTGGAT